TAAAATTAATGTATATTTTTATATTTTTTTATACAATTTTAATATAAAAATTACTCTTTAACCTATATTCTAAAAGTATATATTAAAAAAATCATTTTTAAAAAATTAGTATGTCTTATTTTTATCAAGATTTTAATAATAGTTACATGATGAATTTTAGAAGATTAAAATTCACATTATATCTCATATATTTAATAATTATAATTAGATGTTTTAATATTTTTAATGTTATGATGTTTTGAATTTTTCTTTTTTTCACATAATTTTATTAGTTTATAGATTTTTCTAAATAATTAATTATAATATTTTAAAATATATATTTATAATCTGATTTTAATTTATTAAATAATAAATATTAACTATTTTGTCAATTACCAATTATTTTTAACAATCTAATTAAGTTTAAAATCTAACAATTTTTGTGGTTTTAATAAATTTAATAATAATCATAGCCATAACTCATGTTCTACAGTAACCTTATTGTAAGTTTTTTTTTTTTGTTTATTATCATAAAAAAAAGGTATATGAAATATTGATTAAAATGACTAAAAATATATAAAATATTAATTAAAGTTAATATTATAATAAATTTGCATTTTTACATAAAGTATCATGTAAAAAACAAAAAGCTATATATAACAATCTCAAATGAAGCCTTACATTGCAAGTATGAAAAATTAACAATCTATATAGTATTTTAAATTTGTTATTTTACAATCTAGACTATAAAACATTTTTTCATAGTATTATTGCGGTACATATTCAAAATTTTGTTCTAACAAATTTGAAAATTTGTGGGAAAGCAAATGGCTAATAAGCAAACTATGCTATACCAAGCATGCCCTTCTACAACTACGCTCTATCTTTATTTTATTTGTTTTGCAATCTATACTAAATGCGTTATACAATTTGTGAGAGATCTCACAAGACTCGAGAAAAGAATTTAGGAATGAATTTTGCACTGTATTTCCATTGATGATATGGGGTATTTATTTATACAACTGTTGTAGCTAAGTTGAGTCACTGATGAGTATAAATACAAATGATTGAAATACAAATTACAAACGATATGAAATGCAAAATATGAAATTCAAAACATATGATCATTCCTTATTCTCAAGACTATAATTAGAAAGAAGAAAGCTCGTTAGTCTATGTCTTTCTGCCCATGATTGTCACTCTTTATTAAAGCAGTGTTTTCTGGGTCATCACTTGCACTTGGGACCATTCCATGCTTGTGGCCACGGGAAGCAGCAAAAAGATAGAAACCAGCAATAAGGGCTAGGGCAACTCCACCACTAATGCCAACTGCGGTGATTGCTTTCAGGTTTGAGTGACCAGAATGAGGGGCCAACACCAATGAGGGGTTAACTTCATTTTTAGGAGCAGGGATTGGATTGAGCCCTGCAAGGTTGCCACTTGTATGACTTAGCTTGAATATCTCCACGCCACTTAAGATTGCATCATAATATTGGGGCTTGGCAGCAATGTCTGGATGCAATTCAAGCCATAGATCCTGCTGCGGGCTCCCACCTGGAACAAGCACCACAAAATCCATGTAGACAGGAACTCCAATATTCCAATTTCCCCCTGCCCAGGCAATCACATCTGCTCCCTCCTGTGCAGTTTGATTGTTGAGGAAAATGTTGAACACTCTCTGATTGATCAAAGTAATACTCTCAGTGAACTCACAGAAATGTAACCTAATCAAGTAGTTAAAACCAGAGTCAACACTGAAAAGCCAAGTCAAATTGGATTGTGCATTAACTGCAGAATAAGGTCCCATGGATCTAGCAGTGGCATACACAGTTTTTGGGGCAGTGTAACGAGGAATACCCTTATAGTTAAATGTCATGTTTGGATCAGCAGCAACTGTAACTCCAACCCCTGCCCCCAGAATGTAAGGCAGATCCTCAGACCATGACCTGAAGAGACCCGTATCATCCTCAGAAGGAGAGATATCATTTCCACCCACATTCAGTCGATAAACAGTCTCAAGTGCAGTACTATTATCAATGGTGAACGGAGTAGTATAACCCACAATCATCAATCTCCCACCAGTATTACTATAAATATCAGGCATAGACATAACTTCAATCCCATTCACAAAGGCATAAGTATTTGAGGCCATAGAAGATGGACTAAACGTAATGTTCAGCATCTCTCCATCAACATTGACAGAATACTCCTTAATGAGAAATGCATAACTCAAAGCTTCAGATGTTTGAGACACATTGAAATTCCGAAGAAGTGTATATGATCCGGCAGTGACAGAAAACAAAGCATTTGCAGCATGAAGCCCATCATAGGAACTGGAATAAAAATACAACCTAATAAGCTTCCGACCAGCTACCACTGGGAAACTGTAAGTGAAGTTGGACCGGAAAATCCTAGAAGACATGTAAGGGACTGAAGGAACTGCAGGGTCCTGCATGGCAGCTTTGGAAACCACTGAGTTTCCAGCCCCAAAAAGCTTGGACCCTACATCAGGTGCCCATTTCCGGCCATCTTCAGCAGTGGCTAAAGAAGTATCCCCACAATTCAGTAGGAATTTCTCAGTTGGTACATAACCACCAGCTCTAATAATATGAACTACAGAGGACAAGGAAACAAGAACAAGAAAGGAAACAAGAGAATAATTATCAATCGAGTTCCCCATGAGCTTGAAACCAACAATTTCCCAGAATTCTCTATGACTTCAAACAATGGAAACGAAGTCAATGATGGTTAACCAAAATTAACCCAAGATCCAAGATAAATCGTACCAAACCCAGCCCAAACCCACAAAATTTTCAGCTAAAATTAGCAAGATTGACATCAGAATCGGATCAAGAAGAAGATATTGCCGAGAATGCAAGAAAGAAACGGAAGCAATTAACTTAAAACAGAGTTGTATCTACCAAAAAGAAGAGAACTTTCATGCTATTTGAAGTAAACGAAGGAGATTTACCTCCGACCCTGAAGAGAAGAGAGAACCCGCTAAATCAAACCGGATAATTTTGTCGTTTGCTAGGGTTCCGGTGGGGGAGTAAAAGGATTTTAGAGAGAGAGGAGAAAAGAAAGTAAAGAACCGGAGACCGATGACTGATTTC